TGTGTGTTAGCTACCGGTGGGGTGTGTTTGCTACCGGCTGGGTGTGTTAGCTACCAGTGGGGTTTGTTAACTACCAGTGGGGTGTGTTAGCTACCGGTGGGGATTGTTAGCTACCGGTGGGGTGTGTTAAGAAGATAAGGTGTTTTTTAATGGTGCTTTTGAAAATGATGGTTGAGTCGGCAGTTCTAGAGTTTTCAGGCGGTAGTTACAGATTTTAGGCCCTTTTATGTACATTGAATTATTGTGTAGATTTAGCCGGACAAGGGGAATATGTTTATAAAATGTTTATGAGATGTTTATGTCTGGTATTGTGCCTATGGGTTCTGTCATAACTATCAAAAAAGTGTTTTAGTTCAGGGTTAATTCTGGAATTCATGATTCTGTAAATATAGATTGCAGAGTAATAAGTGTGGATGTTCTGAAAAGTGAGTAAGTTTAGGTCTTTGAAAAGTGGGGGGTAGTGTTGCCTAGCATTGGATTGTGTGATAATTCTTTCTGCAACTTTTTGTTGGGTTATTAGTGGCTTTAGGTGGGTAATTTCTGTTGATCCTTAAGCACAAATTGCATATGTGAAGCAGGGATAGATGAGTGAATAGTATAGTGTGAGTAGGGCTGATTGTGGTATGTAGTAACATTTTAGAGTGGAACTCAAACAGTTTTGGATACTTTTTTTGTTATTTGTTGGATTATGGTTGCTGAAATTCAGGGAACTGTCAAGGTGTAGGTCTAGGAATTTGCCCTCATTATGCTTAGCAATAGGAGCACTGTCGATCTTAATGTCGAGTTTTGTAACACTTGCTCTGTTACCAAACAGGATATAGAAGGTTTCGTCAGTATTAAGTGTAAGCTTATTGGCAGTCATCCAGGTTGATACTTTTAGGAGTTCTTCGTTAACAATAGTGTTGAATGAGGCAAAATTTGGGTGGGAGATGACATAAGTCGTGTCGTCAGCAAACAGAATTGGTTTCAGGTCTTGTGATTACGTTGGGAAGATCATTGATGAATAAGAGGAAGAGCAGGGAGACCAAGGACACTTCCCTGTGGTACTCCACTATCGAGCGGTCGTGATGATGAGGTTGTGTCCATACCTGTTAGTAAGGTAGGATTTGAAATAAGTAAGTGCATGGCCTCTTATACCATAATGGTCAAGTTTGTGGAGTAGGATGCCGAGGTTTACTGTATCAAAAGCTTTCCTTATGCCAATAAAAGTCCTAATGGATATTCCTTATTTTCCAGTGTAGTGTAGAGCATCGTATGTGCTTTTATTTTTCCTGAAGCCAAACTGGCATGGGATGAGTATGCCTTGTGCTGTTATAAACGAATATAGTCTCTTGTGCATGAGTTTTTCGAAGATTTTGGATAGTAACGGTAAGGTTTACAGGCCTGTATTTACACCTGTGGTCACCACCTTTGTGTATTGGTGTAACTCTTGCTGTCTTGAGTAGTGTCAGGAAGGTACTAGTTTCTAAGGATTTGTTAAAAAGTAATGAAATAACAGGCGATAGGGCATGAGCCGTTCGCTTGTATAATAATGGTGAGACTTGAGACAGATTCCCTGCTTTAATTTTAAGTGACTTGATAATCGAGATGACTTCGGTGGGCTCAGTAGGTGCAAGATAGAAGGAGAATGGGAAGTTTCCATTTAATTAGTCATTTGCTCGGGTGTTGGTACCTGGAATTTTACTGGCGAGGTTTGATCCTATGGTTGAGAAGAAGTCATTTATCTTGTTGACTGTATCAATAGGCTGTAATTCATTTGGTTTAGCTAGAACAATATCCCTGGTTTTTTTCAGTTGGTGGGTGTCTAGAATCTGAGAGAGTGTTTTCCAGGCCTTTTTTATATCTCCTCTTTTCGGTGAATCTACTGGAATAGTACAATTACTTGGCCTTTATTATCAGTTTGGTGAGAAATGATGCATAGCGTTTAAGAATATCTTTGTGTATTAAACCTGCTTATATTGCTTTTTGTACTGATGTTTCTTATTTATAGACCTTAGTATGCTGTTAGCCATGGGCAACCTCGCTATTTATTCATAATCTGTTTCATTTTTATAGGATAATGTTTGTTATATGGTCTAAGTAATATTTTAAGAAATATGTCAATCCAGTCATCGATATCATTGGCATTGGAGAATTCTGTAGGTCAGTCAACTGTCCGTAGCTCTGGTGTGAAGTTACTTATTGAGGCCTCATCATGAAGTCTAAAAGAAATTTTGTTGTATTCAAGCGGTTGTTTACCAGTGTTTGTTAAGAGGAAGGTGAGGTAGTGGTCAGTAGTGCTGTCTGTGATAATCCCTGATTTAAGTGGGACTAGTATAATGGTCTATATATGGTCAGTTATGGTTGCAGTTATCTCTGCCAGCCAGGTTGGTTTAGTTATAGTATGAGAAGTGTGCTGTTCATATTGTTGATGAAATCTGTTACTGGCTGGTCATCTGTTAGGCCCAGGTTGATGTTAAAGTATCTGGCTAAGAGTAGGTGGTGCTTATTCAATTGGATGTTTATTATTAGTGTCGTAGTTTATCACAAAAATTGTTTGTATATGGCATCCGGTGAATGGCGCAGATTGTATTAAGAGCCTTAAGGTTTTTTGCAGTAAAATTTGCAAAAATATATTCTGCATATTCATCATTAAAGCAAGTGGTGTTATAACAAGGTAGTTCATTACAGTAATAGATTGCAATACCTCCCCCAACTTGGTATGGTCTGTAGGATTAGATGCAATCTCTGGGTATATTCTTTCCATGTTTGTTTCGATGGGCTATTGATTAGTGTTGATATAATTTTGGTGCTTCGATTTTAGATGTTTTAAGGAATAAACTGGTGTATAATGCATACAATGAAGAATGACCAAATTAATTCATAGCATTAGAAATCTTCCGTATGAAGAAAGAGTGAAGTCCTTTAAATAACATTCACTTGTATGAAGAAGAATGAGAGGAGACATGATCGAAGTGGAAGATTGGTATTAAAAAAAGGGGTATATATAAGGTTTTGAGGATATCTCTCCAAGAGAGAACCCGCAATAATGGATTCAAATTAGATAAGTTTAGATTTAGGAAGGATATAGGAAAGTATTAGTTATGAAACAGGGAAGTTGAAGAGTGGAACAGTCTGCCCAGTAGGATTATAGAAGCTAAAACCTTGGGTAGTTTCAAGTTTAGGTTGGACAAATACAGGGATGAGGGGGGGTTTGGGATTTCAGTGGGGATTTGTACGTGAGTAAAAGATTTGTCAGAGCTTTTGTTAGGGTGCACTGAAGGGGGTTTGGGGAAAATTTTCCCGTTAGGGGTTGGTATTGTAAAGGCCTGCCAAATAGGGTAACAGGCCTACGTAAAATCGTTCTTTCTTATGTTCTTATGTGTTATGCTGTTTTAGAGGGAAAAAAGGAAAAGGGTAACCCCTCATGTGGGTTTTTTCAAAAAAATAAAATTTTCGCCGAGGGGATTTGGGGAGAGGGATAGTATCCCCCAATTTTCTCCGAGTGGATTTTGGTTGTCAAGGACCGATAGATTACCACTCCACCCTGTCTCCCGAGGGGATGGGGTTGCTCAGAGGACAGATAGATGATCCACTCCACCCTTGTCTCCCGAGTGGATGTTGGTTGCTCAGAGGACACGATTAAAGGGGGGGGAAAAACCAAAACCCATCCACCCTTTGTCTGCCGGTGGATGTTGGGTTGCCAGGGGACACGATAGATGAACCCCTCCAGCCTTGTCAAAAAGTTTTTGGAGTTTTCCTCTTTT